TTAGGCTATAAGTGTCATTCACATGCTTAAGAAGACCCCTTTTGGAAAAGAGAATACGCAGGACTATATAATTCGAATTGTGTTATTTCATCCAGCAGAAAGATATCCTCTAGCAAATCTTCTTTAGTATGGAAAATCTCACTTGAATGGAGCATATGAGCTATCTTACGAAGAGCTTCTTCCGCTATTGAAAAAATTGCAAAGTACAAATCATCAAGAAATAGTACATCACACAAAAGTGAATGACGTATAAATAGCAAATATCAACCTTACTTAACCGTTTGGGTGAAATGTATCAAAATAAATGGTTCCAAAAAGGCTGAATAAGAAGGAAAATATAACTAAGCTAAATACCATTGAGTCTGTCAAGAGAATAAAATTAATGTCTAACAGTAATGCAATGAAAGGATCTGCCAGGCCAGATAAGAATGGAAAACTGACCAGCCAAAGTGTGGAGCCAAGAAAGACCAACCAGAAATTTCTTGATATCCCGATTGTGTGAGTTTTGGACCAGATCGCCTCAGCAATAAAGCACAAAATCAGCATCACTGCTCCAAAAATTACCAGTTGATGCAGATAAATATCCAGGAATGATCGCTTATGCAGATGGAAGGCGAAAAGAAATGCCGTGATAGTGGAGGCAGCTGCAATATACAAGTACTCTGTTCCTCTGAAGTGTAGACAAAATCAAAGAATAAAGGAAATCTGCAAAAGATGATACAATTTAATGAATAATTAAAACAGTACTAATAAAACCACTAATAAATATTGATATAATGGGAAGCATGTGAAAATGGATACCGACTTCCACTGTTTGCAATCTGAAGTAACAACAACAAGTGAGCATCGGTTATCTATCTCGTGACGTTGCAATTTGAAAGACCAAACGTTAGGCAGATGTGGCACGAGCTTCGGTCATAGAACGGACTAACTTGTTTAGATCATTGCATACATAAATACACACAAACACTTAGGTAGCCCAATTGCCCAATTTATGAAAGCCTCTTTAGTTTATCTGTGTATGTGCGTTAAATTTAGTATAAACATTGGTTAGTAGGCAAAAGATTAAATCCGATAATTATATGAAATGATCAAACAACCAAGATGACCAAGCATCGAACACAAAGTTTCCATTACAGGTACCTACTATATGAACGGCTGCCTACAAAAATACATTCCATAAGCCGGCCGGGACGCTGTGTAGCACATGAAGTCCAACAATAAGTGGTACGTATGACGCCACATAAAATACTAGAGATTCTACTCACGATAAGTTGAAGGGGAGTTTGCTTTCAATTTGAAATCTCTTGCACTCCAAATTTAGTGTTAAACATGGGAAAAACAATCCAATAAGCAGCTATAACTAACTGGCTACTTACAGCACGTGAGTAGTGTTGCGAATTTATCGGAAGACATCACTCAAAATGTTGAATACAGACATATAGCAAATTAACAGTATATTTTTCATAGGCTTGACGATATGTGGGTTGATAAGGCAAATGCAAATGATGCGAATTGAAGATATCGGCTGAGAATTGGTAATCCCTCTATACTGCTACGATATCTGTTGTGCAAGTCCAGGTGGGCAGAAATATTTTGGATGCATATATTGTTTATGCATTAGACTTATGGTGCCAGGGAGCCCAAGAAGCGAGTAGGTCGTATTATGTCAGTCATGACTCCTTCCTTTGATTGTGTTTATTCCAAGACCCTTCAAAAACGGTTTAGTCTGCATCTTCAGGAAATTTCGCTACCCACAAGATCTAACTACAAACTGACAAGACAAAGATACTAAGTTTCAGTTGGTGAGCAGTAGCATACTTTCTCTTGCTGATTTGATACATGTCTCCTTGACGGATTCTAAGAGAGTGCTATGAGAGGGGAAGTAACAGTGCCCGCTGAAAATACACCCTGCCAAGTATCCAATTCTGCAAAAAATTATGGCACAAATAACAAAGGACGAGGTTAGGGGCTTTTTCTTCGAAGTCACTCAGGCATAAGGAGTGAGCTGGGAAGACCTGATTAAACAAATGTATGAGCAATTCTATCAGCTTTCTCAAATAATAAGGTACGACGGGGTTTTATATAATTCTCGATAGGTTTCATCATCAGAATTAAATTATATAACTGGTTATAATCTATGTTGTATTGTGGTTATAAACTGAGAAAACGTGATCAAACCAATATTTAAGAAATTTTTTATTATGAAATGTAACAACAGGTTTGTGGGTCTTTTTATAAGGGTCAAATTATATATATCTATGATTTAAGCTATAAGGATGCTATTGAAATGCGAAAACAAGATAGGACCAATTTTTTAACGAGCTTGTCAATTTCTTATTATGAAATGAGTCAAAAGGTATTGGCATTCTTATAAAGGGATGAAATTTTATAAATTAACATATGCAATATAGATTATATGTATATATATATATATATATAGGTACATTATATGGGGGATTGCCAGTTTCCCAAAAGGGATTATATCAATTTCTGAGAAACTTTACAACTTTCCTGTATGAAATAGAAAAACGGACTTCTGCGTATTTCTTAAAAGGTTTCATCATATATATATAAAGATAATCTCTAATATATGGATTACAATGAGTTGAGACAAGGATAAAGAATAAAGACATGGGCACTCTTTGAAATTTTTTTAACTAAATAGAATGACAGGTTTTGTAATATTTCTCATTATAAGAATGAAACTTAATATGCACTTATATAAATAACTTTGCCATAAGACAACATCACAAAGTTGTGAATTCTGATTCAGACTTATTTAATCCAGCGAAATTAGACTACGATCGAAATAAAGACTGCATGATCTTGCTCTGCTTGACTAATATGATTTTACTTTTGGGCCTCAATTGACAAGATATTTCTGTATGTAACAGATGACCATAAATTTAAAGAATTTATCAATCTTAAAATGCAAACTCATGATGCAAGAATCATACTTACTTCGGCACCTTTAGTTTATGATAAAATATGCCCAATTCAAGCAGTCCTGAGATGAATATGGCAGCATAAACTGCCATATGCTGAAAGTGTCCAAAGGCGATGTTATTCCAACGAAGTATAACACCGCCAAAAAATTCGGTATTGAATAATAATGCACTCATACTAATTTTGAACAAGGGTTCCAACGGGATCACGCTTCTGCCAAATAGTCGGCGTGACTTAAGCCGAAAACCGTAGATTAATCTATTTTCAAAGACAAATCCCGACTCGGATGCCCGCTGGTCCAAAAGCAAAGCCGATTCAGTCGTCTCCATCTCTTCAACAGACTCCTCATGAGGCGTTAACTGGCGACGTGAGTCTGCTTGTCTGGTCTTTTTCGCCGTATTTCGGTCGGGCTGCAGGACAGCGACTTGTCGGGCCAGCCTATGGACTTCCAGGCATCTGTAGTATTCGCGTATCAAGCAGCAGTAGTGACAGAGACCCATGATCAACAGGGAAGTCCCGGGCATCACATGACCCAAAAATGTCCCATCTTTCAGGTAGCCCGAACCAGTATGGTGATTGAGGGTCATCTTTGCACAAGGAATTGTCTGAAAATGCAAGACGATGTACACCTTCGGCTGGCTGGACGGACTTGAATTAGCGAAGCAATCAGAAGGGCCGTCAACACATTTGACGTGTACAAATACCTTAAATCAACTGTGAGAGAGGCACTATTCATATTCGTCAGAATGATTTATCACATCTTGTCACTTCCTCGGATTGACAAATGCGCTGTCGATAGGAGTCTCCAGAAAATTCTTGATTTATGGCGTTCAACTGAAAGATCGCCAAATCTAACAGCCTGAACTACTC